AGTACGTTGGTGAGAGTGTGTAGTTCGGTTTTTTGGTGTTGTTCATCGGCTAAGCATTTTGTTCTGGAGATGAGTGTCTTGGCTACGGAATTGATCTGTGCTGGGTGGTGGTGTGAGAGTGCATGTAGATAGCGGTTAGTGTGTGTTTTCTTCTGGTAGATGGTGTGTCCTAGGGAGCCATTGGATCTTTTGTATACCAAGACATCTAGGAAGGGAAGTTGGTTGTTGGCTTCTGTTTCCATGGTGAATTGTATTTTGGGGTGTAGGCTTCCATGTAGAAAACAGTTTCACACACACTTCCATGTAGAAAACAGACTCTCACCCACTCAGAAGATGAGACACGACCATGGACCAGAAGCTGCACTACAGCTGCATCATTACCCACTTCAAACCCCTCCGAGCCATACATGAAGCAAACCGACACCCACTATGAAGATGCAACAGGACCACGAACTAGAAGCCAAACAGCAAGATCACAACTCACCAGCTCAAATCCCCCAGCAACTAAGACTAACCGGAGCACAGCCAAGCCCCCACCTGAACAGAACACGCCTCCAACCAATCAGAACACGGCTAACCCCCCAACCAATCAGAACACAACCAAACCCCCTACCAATGAGAACACACCCCCACCCAATCAGAACACAGCCAAGCCCCCACCCAATCAAGTCCCACCCCCACTGGCAGTTAAAAGGAGGAAGCAGCTGCAATCTCACATTACTCTGAAAAGCACAGAGCCGGAGCCAGAAGCCTGAAGATGATGAATGAGACTTCATCGAAACGTTGCCTAGATACTTCGAATCTTACGCGGGAGAAAACCCGAACAACCAAAGATCCATATATATATATATATATATATATATTACATCATATATATATGATGATGATGATTTGATTTATTGTGCAGTTCAGCCCATAAAAGAGTTTCTCCAGGCCAGAAAGAAATCCAAGGCAAAAAACCAGCCACCGATGTCACTCTGTTTGTTGGATTACAGCGGAAACAAAAACATAGGTGAGTGTCTTCAGGTAATGGGGCAATTATTATTATTTTTCCCCCCACAGAGATGTTTGAAAACTTTTTAGCACCCTGAGGTGCATAACATTCCCTCCCCTGGGTTACAGAACAGGAATATATTTTTTTTTCCATCTGAGAGATTTATCTGTGCGTTTGTCAATTCATATTTCTCTCCTTCCAGGGAGGAGTATTTAAAGAGAGGATTTTTTTAAAAATGGGGTGTATTTTAAGAGCAAGATTAACTCCGTTTTCTTCCCCTCCAGAGGCAGTTTTCAGAAAGAGCGGGAAAAGGATTATTCCTTCGGTGGTGTTGCCAAATGAGGAAGAAATTTGCTCCACTAAGTCAGTATGTATTGTCCGTAACACACTGCCTGAACAGAAAGATTGTTAAATCATTGAATGCTTCTTCAGTTGCGGTGTCCCCCTCATTCACACAACAAACCTCCATATTTTTTTTTTCCTCCTCTCCAACAGTGGCTCAGCAAATGGAGCCTGAAAAAGCTAAAATTAGATTTGCCCACTGTCCTTTTTGGGCCCGGGAGCGTCCATCGGAAGGAGAGAGTGGAATCGTTGCACAAGAAAGTTTCGGCAAAATATTGTGACATTTTCCCAAGTGTAGAAATGCAAGTAAGTCCACTCTTTTGGTGCTTTTAGAGGGAAACTGAAATGTTTCTTCAGTTATCCTGATTGTGCACAGCAGTCCTTTCTTTCTTTCTTTCTTTCTTTCTTTCTTTCTTTCTTTCTTTCTTTCTTTCTTTCTCTCTCTCTCTCTCTCTGTCTTTCTTTCTTTCTTTCTTTCTTTCTTTCTCTCTCTCTCTCTCTCTCTCTCTCTCTCTCTCTCTCTCTCTCTCT